TCAACAAAACAACCGTTCAAACCCTGCCTGTCGGAAAAATTAGGTGGCATATCCCCTTTAAAGTCCCTGTATACCTTTTGTGGAACATGTCCCCGAACTCTACTCCAATCTTTCGGGTCCACATTTGAAACCCCTTTAGAGTTTCCATTCCAGTACCCCTTCTACAGTCCTTCCTTATGGTAGCCCTCTTCGACTCGATGAGGTCCCTGTATCATATGCCACCCCCAAACCCTAAACCTTAAAACCCTAAACCCTAAACCCTAAACCCTAAACCCTAAACCCCCAAACCCTAAACCTTAAACCGCCATCACCCAAAACGGGCTTGGAAGACGCTTCACGGCAGACACCCAAAAGGCCCTCAACAAAGAAACAACAAACGCAAGTTTGTAATAGGGTTTAGGTTTAAGGTTTAGGGTTTAGGGTTTAGGGTTTAGGGTTTAGGGTTTAGGATTTAGGGTTTAGGGTTTAGGTTTTAGGTTTAGGTTTAGGGCTTAGGGTTTAAACCCCTCCACCCCAATGCGGCTCCCAGGACCGACCCCGAGCCGCCATCCAGGCCGTCTTAGGGACTTTGTTGTTTTCGGCGGGCCCTGGGTTCAGGGTTTATAGGGTTTAGGGCTTATGGATTATAGGGTCTATTGGGCTTATAGGGCTTATAGGATTTAGGGTTTAGGGGTCACGGTTTAGGTTTGTTGGTGGAGGGGAGTTGGGCCCCAATTGAAGAGCCCTAAAATTAAAACCTAGCCCCTGAACACTGCCCTGAGCCGCCTGATCTTGCCGGATTTTGCCTTATAGCCCCATATAAGTGCACTGCAATCTGTGCCAGGGCCTTCTAATGATTAAGGCTTTCAGAAAAATCCTGGCTTTTTGTCAGGCCCATGCGGAAGCTTTTTAAATGGAGGCGTCTTTTTACGTCCTTATGACGGGGACCCCGTCAAAGCCCTACTCCCCGTTTGCAGGTTCCCAGGTTCGGAGATTCCGAAGGTAAGGGACCCTGAACAGCCCTATATGTAGGCAGGGCAGGGCCCTTGTGATAAGAGGGCTCAGGGTTCAGGGTTTAGCTAGACCCTAAACGCCAATCATATCGGCCTTGGGTTTGGCCAGGACCGGCATAGGCGGCTACCCGGACGCAGTCCCCGCCCCGATGGTGAAGGCTCCTTCACTGCCACCTTTTTCTTGGGGCTTCAGGACTGAAGGTTGGGCGGAATCTGAAATTCTAGGGTTTAGGGTTTAGGGTTTCAGAGTTTAGGGTTTAGGGTTTGGGGTTTAGGGTTTAGGGGTTTGGGGTTTCGGGTTTAGGGCTTAGTGTTTAGAGTAGAGCTCAGGAGTTTGGGGCTCAGGGCTTGCGTCTTGCAATCCAGGTTTAGGTCGAGGATGAAGCTCAAGTCACTCCCTCTCCCTCTGGTTCCACTGTAAACTGTGCACTTGGTCCGTAAGTCCTTAAGAAATCCAGTCGGGCACACACCGACTTGAATGCTGACATGCAAATATTGTGTGGGGGGCGAGGTGGGGGTTGTTCTGAAAGGCATACCGTAAGAATCCGGTACTCAACAAATCACGCAGCCAAAAGAGTAAATCCAATGGAGATTGTAGATAATTACTATGTTCTACATGTACTGCCTGAAGACTGAAGCCACAGTGCCGAACAGTTTTGAACGACATTGCTGCCCTCCCTGCACTTCTGTTTGATTGCGTGCTATCGAGTTTTGACCCCCTCAGCCCAAACCAAAAACCCTGAATCGCAAATCCTAAAGCCCGGGAGCCTTAAACCCAAATGAAGGTGGCCTGCCGCTTCGGGTCATCCTGCTATCAGGCAGACGTGACGAAGGGGGGAGGCATGAATTGCGCAAGCAGTGTAGCCACCATTGAATGAAAGCAAGGAAGCATCTTCCCCTCACATGGGCATTGGGCTTGATCGACGCTAAATCCATGCATGTGGATTTCACTCTGTTGGGCCTTGGGATCAAAGAGATCTAGGGCTTCTTTGAGGCAAGCAATTGCATGGAAGCCCGATGCTGGTGGAGGAGTCGGAGTTGTCATGGTGGCCGTGACTGGCAGTGAGTAGTGGTGCTAGTGGTGGTGGCAGCGCAGTGACAACGGCAGCCGTCGTCGTAGTCGACGAGGAGCGGCAGCAGCCGAAGGCATATTAGCGGTAGAAACAGTTGTGCGGCTGCTCGTAGTTGTACTTGCAATAGTAGAAGTAGTGACTTCTAAGTCTGCTGGGCACAGCCAACAGTAAGAGGCGATAGCAGCTAGAGTGGCTATCAGTGACTGTCACAGAAGCAACAGTGACAGCGTCTCGAAACGTAGGAGGCTTCCCTTGAGAATCTGATGCTCTGCCTCCCCAAACCCTGACCAACAACTCATCAGATGCAAGTCTACACGGCAGGGCCTAATCCCGAGCGTCCAGTGTTTGGTGCTTAGGGTTTCAGAAACCCTGATAGCCCGAAGCCTGGGCAGGTGAGTCCCGAGCACTGCGAGCGCTTCGCCCACCCCGGGGACCAGGAATATCGATGTGGGGAGGTGCACGTCCCGGATTTGGGGTCTAGCGGTGTTGGAGCGAGGTGTCCGAAGTGTGTTGGGTGTGCACGATTTCGGATCCAGTTGAAAAGATCGAACTCGTGTCGACAGGCACAAGTGCGTAGACTAGAGTGTACAGAGGGCTACGAGCACTGGGCGGCTGTTTTGCGGTTGCTTGAGGGGCTGGGGCGGCCACGGCGGCCACAGCCAAAAGTAATTCAATTCAATTTAGGTTCACGAGTATGTACTTGTAGGGCATTGTAGGGAAGTGCCGCCGTGGAGAGCCTTGAGATGAGCCATGGACCATCGTGTGCAGAAACGCATAAACCAAGCAGTTGGCTGACTCACTACCTACTACCAAACGAACGCAAGCAGGAACTGGCGCACGAGCCCACCAACTAACTACGTAAACGAAGATGCATGATTACCTGCTTCCATGATTAAGCAACCAGATGACGCAATCGGTTGCGGTAGTGGTCGTAGCAGAGACGAAGCGTGCTCACAGGTGTATCGGTATCGCAGGTCAGAGCTCTAAGCTTCCAAGGGCTTTGGGGCTTTGAGGTCTGGTTGAGGACCCACAACACTTAGCTCTACAATTCCAAAAGCCAACATTCAAGGCTTCACACTCTAAACTCTCAACCCCAGGCCCAACACACTGGATCCCACAACTCCTGCACCAAGAACCCAAACCCAAAGCCCTCCAAAACCTAAGTTCCAACACCCCAAAGCCCGTAGAACATTCTTGCTTCTCCCCTAAGTCCTTGACCTAAAGCCTAAAACTAGAGTCTTAGACCCTGGACCTTAAACAACACCTCACCCCTAAACTAGACCCTGAACTAAGCACCAAACGCCTTTGAACCTCACCAAAGCCCAACTTTCGGAGGTTGTTTTCGACACTGGGGGCCCTCAGTTAGACTCCCTGGCACGCAAAATCCAATCGACGGTTTCCCTTTGGGTCTCCATACTATGAGTTTGTTGATTTGGTTCTGTGTTTTGCAGGGGGTTCTTCCGTATGACGGGAGCTGTTCGGGCTTACGTCAGGATCGGTGGCCTTCGGATTTAAAGCTCTAGGTTCCTCGAGGAGTTCATGTTAAAGATTCCTATCATGCTTGAAGGAAGATTCCCTACTGGAGGCATGTCGGAGCCTCTGGGTCGTAGGGACACTTGTGAATCGAAGACGAACCCCAAGACCTCAACTCGCGCGAAAGCTTGCGCCCAAAACGCCTAAACTTAGTCCAAAAGGCCCTTCTCGTACGGCACAAGCCTGGAACCCCAAACCCTGACCTCCTCAACCCTGAACCTCAATGCCTAGAGAGTTTGGAGGAGGGTTGATGTCGGCACGAGCACCTTAGAGCCTTAGGGGATGCCGTCACCACGATTTAGGGGTCCATTATCTCGGGCCAGGGTTCAGGGGTCGAGAGTTTGGGGGTGTAGGGTGTAGGTTTTGGGGGTTCAGGGCATCAGTGCTCTGGAAATCTAACGTCTGTTGGTGCATGTAGGTGTTGAGGTTTACGGTTTCGGGCACATCTTCCGAGCATGCCCGCCAAAGCCCAGGAAACACTGTGGGACGTTTTCACCTACTTCGACTCCCGTTCCTCAGGCAGGAGTTTCGGGGTCTTCCCTCGTTGGCCTCGAGAGGTTAATGCCTTGTAAGCGTGAAGGGATCCTAAGCTTTCCGAGGCTGGCGATCGTACGACGGACATCCAATGCCCTTTGAAGGCACCAAGTCGAAAACCCATGGAAAAGAGGCTACCTCTGCCTGAGCGACTTCCGCGCGGCTGCCGCGGAGCTGGCGCAGAGGGGGTGGCCAGGCTTGAACGATGGCTTGGATGCTGGTACTTATGATGGTGATGACTGTGGTGTTGACGATGATGCTGGATGAAATTGTGTATGATTGTACTACACTCGATTATGCTGCGGTTTCTGCGAGCTCATTCCTTGAGCCCCAGGCTGCTGCGGGACTCGCCACGGCGTGTGGAGGACCTCGATCAGAGCTCCCGGCATTCGGGTTTAGGATTCAGCGGTTTAGGTTTAGGTGGTTAGGTTTGACGGGTTGCTCAACTCGCGGGCAAAGACTTCACCAAGTTTGGGGTTAGGGCTTATAGGGCTTTGGGATTCAGGGTTCAGGAAATAGGGTCATTCGGGGCTTGAGGCCTTTATGGAGGGACTTAGAGTAGAGCTCCCGCAAGGGTTCCTGGAAGGATTGCTTGAAGGGTTCGTTTAAGGGCCCCTTAAAAAGGGGCGAGGCTTCAGGAGGGTCTTACAGGGTTGTTCCAGATTCTGGCGTGACGGAGTTTCTCGGAAGGGTGGGGAGTGGCTCGGAACAATCTGCGACTTGGAGGGGTTGAGGTTCTTTCGGCTTCAGGGGCACTTAGGTTAAATTCATGTAATAATAATTACTTGGAGCTTAGCTCTATAAACCACTCTAAGCCTGGCCCTAAGCCTAGCCATAGTGAACGTCGTCGCATGAGTATGGTCAGGACATGGCCGCCGAGTGGGCAGCTGCAGGTGGTGTGCAGCGCGGGCACGTCAGCTTCGTCCGCTTCGCATCTCGCAGAATTTAACCCGGAACCTAAACCCACATAGTATATAACCCTTGCATGAACCCTTAATGTAGTCCTATAGCAAACCCAAACACGAAGTAGCCCTATAGAGTCCTACAATCCAAAACCACAAGCCCCTCGCATCTATGGTCTAAGAGTTTTTCATGCGGCTTGTAGAGCCTTTTCCGTCTTCAGGTTTAGGGTTTGGAGGTTTACGGCTTACATTTTAGGGGCTGGGTCTTTTGTTTTTATCGGTTTAGGGTCTTGCAGTTTAGGGCTGGTGGATGTTCCCAAGAGCTTTAAGTTGACAGTGCAGGATGTTGTTGCATCTTCTTGCAGCCGATTCTGTTGTTTAGGTCTCTACTGGAGGTGGGGCTTTCCGAAAATTAGGGTACCTTATCTTGGGGTCCTTATAATAAGGATCCTACTATTTAGGGTACTATATTAGGGTCCCCTATTTTCGGAAACCCCCAGGTAGTTGAAAGCCCGAAACACCGCAAAGAGGCCGCCTGGGCCAGCCGTGAAGGTGCCAACCTGGCAGTGGGCCTGGAGGCGCTGAAGGGGTCATTTTAGGGTTTAGGATGGTTTAGGGTTTAGGATAGTTTAGGGTTTAGGATAGTTTAGGGTTTAGGATAGTTTAGGGTTTAGGATGGTTTAGGGTTTAGGGTTTAGGCAGAGGGCTTCGGCTGTAAGGGTTTTTGAGTTTTAGGGTCTACGGCAGACCATGGGGGTTTTGGAAGGAATTCATAGGTGTCTCGTCTGAGTTGGTGGGGGGTTTGGGGTTTGGGATTTCGGGCTTCGGGTCTGGTCTTGAGGTTCAAGGCATTTGGGTCCACCAGCTTTCTGTTACGTGGTGTTGAAGCAAGTTGCTGAGCAGGAGCCTCCTAGTTTTGTAATTACAGTTCAGACAGCCATGCCGTAAACTTTTCCTTCGGGCTTGCTGGTGAGGTCTTGTTCAGTCGCCCCTTTCTCAGGGGCATAGCTCAGGGCTTTTTTTTTATAGGGTGTATATAATTAACCTTAAACCCTAAACCCAAAACCCTAAACCCTAAACCCTAAACCCGAAACCCTAAACCCTAAACCCTAACTAACGATATAATTAGGGGGTGCTCAACCTGCTCAACCTTGCCAGCTCATCTGCTGCCAGGTGCAGCCCGGGTCCGCACGTCGCTGCCGAGCCAGGGTGTCCGGAGGCTGGGAGACGAAGACCTTTCTTTATTTGGGTGGTTGTCAAAATTATGGTCCCTTTTTGGGTCCCTATTATAATACGGCACCTATTATTTAGGGTACCCCAAAAAGGACCCTAATTTTGACAACTACCCATTTGAGAAGGTAGAAAGCAAGCCTCTGGCTGCTTATGCCTCCATGCCTGTACCATACTCCTACTTTACCGGCTTCTTTTGAATCTCAGCCCCCATGGTCCTTCCTACACCCCGAAGATCTCCAGGAAGAGTCAAAGGACAAGCTTGCAAGTGCAAGACCTTCGTCGGCCGAGCCGGGGTCGCCTGTAACCTGGCTGCCCCTCCAAGCTGTCCCGGTCTTTTTCCCACAAAGCCATGTTATGCCGCATTGTGTTGTCTTTGTGAACCTTTTGATAGCTCTCTCTCTCTCTCTCCCTCTCTCTCTCTCACTGTCTCTCTATTCGACAGTGCCGTGATCGTGGCTATGGTCGCACCATGCTACCGCAGACTAGACCTTGAACCTGAGTCGCTGCAGGCATGATGTGTAAGCCGACCGAACTACATCCGCCCAAGCTTTTGCTCGAGTTTGGGGTGCAAGGTTTCGGATGGACCATATGCTCCCGAGGTTCTAAGTCACAGCCAACTTGGTCCGGAATTTTCGTATCTCCCTATAAGCAGCCCAGTTTGGCAGCTCCAAGGTACCTGCTGTGGGCACGCGGAGCGTGTCCACTGGTCGGACTCCTCTCGCCAAGGCACAGAATGTTGAGGTTCCGGCTTAAGGGTTTAAGGCACAGACCTAAGATGTAGCCCTATTAAACCCTAAACCCTCGTTGGGTTTGGGCCTGGGGTCTAGAGAGGAGTTTCGAACTCTGCGCGATATGGCCCGAGCTTGCCCGGGGGTCCTCACAACTACTACGTTGCTTTTGCCGGCACTTAGCGGGAGAAAGCTAGGGATCGCCTATGTAATTCGTCTTCTTCGCTACCGTCGAAGCATGAGCAGGAGCAAGGGCAGCAGCAGCAGCATTGGTAGTACCAGGAGCAGGAGTACGAGCACGATTTAGAACAAGCAGCAGCAGGAAGAGAAGAAGAAGGAGCAGTAGCACCAGCAGTACTTCTTACTTATAGCAGTTCGAGCAGTACTAGCAGTATTGTAGCAGTACTAGCAGCAGAAGAAGTACTCGCAGTACCAGCAGTAGTGGCAGAAGAAGCAGGAGGACGGTGATGATTTCTAAATATCTGGGGGCCGGGCCACCCGGCAGCCGCTGAGAGGTAGTATGACATATCTGTTTCGGCAGCCGCTCAGAGGTAGTATGCCGCATCTGTTATATACTCTCAGCATATTTACTCCCGAAAAACATTCACAGTCATCCACCATGCCCAGTTCAATTCCTCCAACAGGCCCGCGGATATTTATTGTGCCACGGGCGCGAGGGCTGGAGTGCTGGATGGTAGCCCACGGGCCTTGGGCATGGCTAAGCTCAGGCTCCGGCTCACTCCATCTCGCTATTGCAGCCTCCAGGCTGGGGGCTACGTCCAAAACACCAGCCCTCCACCCCTCTAGCCCTCCAGTGCGCCCCATTCACAGCTCCTGCCCCCAGCCCTCCCCAGCCCTCCTCCAGCCCTCTAGCCTTCAGCCACCAGCCCCTGCAAAACTCTGGATGCTGCACCGACCCTCCCGCCCCCTTCCCAACCCTCCGCCAGCCCTCCCGTCAGCCCTCCAGCTCCACACACATCTTCCGCATGTTTGTAAATTGGGCGGGCCGACTGCGCCCCTCACAGAGGCAGTTTGAGGTATCTGTTCAATAGTTCAATCTGTATGTATGTCCGTATGTTTAAAAAACGTTGCCGTGGGACCAGGAGCAAGGACCAGGACCAGCACCACGGGCAGGACCAGGAGGAGCAGGAGCAGGAGCAGGAACAGGAGAACGAGTAGCAGAAGGAGCAGGCCGTAGCAGTAGCAGGTGTAGTTGTAACCGTCGTCGTAGTAGTACTTGTGTAGTTTGTGGTCGTCGTTCGAAGCTTTTCAGGTTAAGGGTTCAGGGATTTGGGTGCGGAGCGTGTTTGACAACTTCTGCCGAAGATTTCGATTTCTTAGATGCCGCCCGATCCTGAGTCATGTTCTCGTGATTTATGGTAGACTTGTCTCCGTTTCGAAAATTCCTGTGGTAGTTGTACTAGCATATTGAAGACGGCCTTGGTCTTGGCCTGAAGCCTGAATTCCCATAGAACCCTTACATCTTATGGCAACTAGAACAAACCCGAAGCCATGGACCCCGAGATCTAATCTCAAAGGCTTGGCGGCACTCCTACTTTCCTGCCGCCCTTTCCACTGGACCCCTGGAGCCACGGGGCTCGATGACCGGCTGCAAGACGATTTAAGGGGCCAGTGCCTGGGGCGTTTGTAGGACGTTTAGGGGTCCTTAGGGTTTAAAAGAGTGTCTAGCGCTTGTGTTCGCTTGTCATCTACACAGTTTCGGATTGTGATACTCAAGATTTACGAGCCCCGGCCTGGTCCTGCTCGAGTAGGTGAGAATGTGAGAAGGCACAGTATCGGAGGTGGCAGTGGCAGTGGGTACTCGTCGTCGTTGCGGTAGCCCGCAGCGGTCACAGAAGCCGTGACATCATCATTATCATCGTCACCATGTCATCAGCAATACTCAGAGACGCAGTCGCAGTGGGAAAAGGATGAGGAGGACGAGGAGGATAGGAGGAGGAGGAGGAGGAGACGGCGGCGGCAGCGGCGGCGGAGGAAGAGGAGGAGGAGGGGGGGGGGGGCTGTTTGAGTGTCTTTGAGGTTTCCGGGATGTACACTACGTGAGTGAAGCCGTTGTGCGAACTAGCGGACGCGGCAGTGCAAAGTGGTAAAGAGTGGTAAATATGCACATTTTGTTCTATATACCGACTTACCTCTCTCTACCTACCTGCCTGCCTTCCTGCCTGCCTGCTTGCCTGCCTGCCTACCTGCCTACTTGCCTGCCTGCCTACCTGCCTACCTTCCTGCCTTCCTGCCTACCTGCCTACCTGGTGATCCGTGAAGGTACCAGAGTGTCCCTTCTTCGGATGCCACTCCGGACCAGCTGCTGTTGCAAATGCTATAATTACGGGGTTTGACGAGTCTCACCAGAAGAACCCCGCACGGATTCTTGAAAAGGAGCTTCACAACTAAGACTTGCCAAACCCCTAAAACAACCCTACTTGGAGGTTCATGGCCTGCATGCCTGCCTGCCTACCTGCCTGTTTGGTTGCCTACTCGTACCTCCTTACCTCCCTGCCTGCCTGCCTGCCTGCCTGCCTGCCTGCCTACCTAACCACATACATACGTACATACATACATGCGTACATACATACATGCGTACATATATACATGCAGACATGCAGACGTTTACATGCATACACACACCCACACACAGAGAGACGTACCAATCACTCACTCGCTCACTCACTTGCTGACTCAGTCAGTCAGTCAGTCAGTCCGTCAATCAATCTGTTCTATCTATCCATCTATCTATCTGCTCTATTTATTCATCTATCTATGCATCTCTTTCAAACATACACACACACACACTCTGTCTCTCTCTGTCTCTCTCTCTCTCTCCCTCTCTCTCTTTCTCTTCACGTACAATAATTCACAGAGTTATATATATATATATATGACACACACACACACACACATATATATATATATATATATATATATATGGGTGGTTGTCAAAATGATGGTCCCTTTTTGGGTCCTTATTATAATACGACACCTATTATTTAGGGGTACCCCAAAAGGATTTTGACAACTACCCATATATATATATATGTATCAATATACATACCTATACCTAACTCTATATCTATAGAAGCTATATCCATATCGGTATCTATATCTATGTCCATATCTATATCTACAATTTTCACATTTATTGAGGGTGGGGGGTTGAGCCGAGGTGAAGTTGATGGATCCCGAGCTTCAGATGCAACAAGTTTTATATCTTCGGCCTTGGTGCATCTCAGCATGATTCAAAATCAGTTTGGGGTTGCTTCGATAAGAGATCGGGGCAGAGCTGCCAGTGCCACTGCCAGAAGTGAATTGTTTGTTTTAGCCACCGTCGTCTGTCCGCAGTGCCGGGCAGGCATGTTGCGAGTCTAAGGCGTGTTGCGGTACTGTACCTTTATGGCAGACAGTGGCCGAACAGAATCTGCAAACTGTCGGGTCTGCATCTCAACCAGCTTTGCTTCTCTAACTTGGAGACTCTCATTACACCCTCAGCAAGACAGAGCCTAGGTGTAAGGTACCTTCACTCAAGAAGGGGTTTACAGTCTGCCGGTTTTTGGTTTTGCTGGGAAAACTGGTTAGCTGTAGCTCATGAGCTTTGGCTAGTTGGTTCCATCACGAGCTGTGTCGAATCAAAACGTCTCCTGAACCCTAAACAGCCAAAATCCCTTGAGGACGACTCTGAGATTCTTCTAAGGAGAAGCCCGAATAGCGAGGTCCCCCTACATCCCATAGTAGGGGAACGAGGCCTTTTTCAATTAGGCACTATACCATATTTATCCCAAGGCAGGAGGTCTTGTTTCCACCTGCACCATCCTCCGTAGACTTCAGGGCTTAGCGAAAGGGCGCATGATGTAGGGTTTTGAGGTTCCGGGTCTAGGGCCCGAAAACCGTCTCAATCTTGACTGATCTCAGGATCTCCTGGACAAGCTGAACTGTCTGCTCATTCGCACGCACAAGGAGGCAGGGTCATCTCGTTCAGGGCTGAAGGTAATATGAATCTGGCAATATTTAGTATCAGTATCCTCTTGCGGTTCCCCACATTATACTCTATAACACTACCATAAATATGCTCCAGAGCTCTATGCGAACAATTATGGCCCCTCTACGAAAACCCTGAAAAATACCAAACACATATCGCAACGAGGATCCTAAGTAAAATCCACAAGATCGCTTTCTTGGAGGGCTTGGTGTGGCCTGTGGCCGGTACTTCGTGAGCATTCGGGTCTCTGGCAGTGTCTTGCAAGAAGCCCTGCCATGTCATGAAAAGCCAGTGACCTAGGTTAATAGGAAATTCACAGGATTTTCAGGTCATAGTCTAGGGGCCCAAGTGCGCAGACTAGGCTCTTGAGTGGCTTTGAAAATTTTACGACTTCTCCGGGCCCCCCACCCCCGACCCCACGATAAGGAGCTTGGGAACCGAAATGAACACAACAATCATTGCCGATGGTGATAAGTCCAGTACGGTGGCCTTAATAATCAGAATAGGGTTTTCGTGTGTAGCATGCTATAACTATAATAGGAATCCTAAGGAATAGTATTGGAGTTTGTGCTTGTCAGGCTGAGCGCAACATGCATATGGGTGGTTGTCAGAATTATGGTCCTTTTTTGGGTCCTTATTATAATACGGCACCTATTATTTAGGGTACCCAAAGGGACAATAGTTTTGACAACCACCCATATGAATACGAGAACTGGAATAAGACATGATCACAAGGTGTACCATACAGGAAACGGCACAACAGAGGTTTCGTCAACAACAAGCTCGTTGTACCAGGTTCATTTCAACTCTTCTGATTGAATGCAAGACTCGAAATCCACACCCTGCGCTTTGAGGCAGATAACTGGACCCGTGACCGCGGCTGCACATTGTTCCTTGGCCATTAGCTAAACAAATCCAGAAGCTACTCAACCCTGGACCCCAGAACCCCGAAACTTTGGTGGTTAGGTGGTAAGAATCCCCTCGTTAACCGGTCTCCCGCAAACCGCCTCAGCCAAAGCGGCATTCCCGACCGTGAACGAGGCGAAAGGAAAAGAGGTCTCCAAAATAGAAGAACCCTCAAACTCCAAGCCCTCGCACCGTCAACCCTGTCAACCCCTTGAGCCTACACCCCACGCAGTAGGATTTTTGTGGCAACAGCCGGCTACGATTTTTGAGCTTTGAGTTCGGTTTATGCACAGAAGTCCCAAGCCTTTTCAAGAAAGGCACGGCGTCAACGCCTGCGAGTCCGCCTGTATCTTCAAGAACAAGGCCAGGCTTACGTAAACTGGAGCCGGCCCCCTTCCTTCCTTGCTTTGCTGTCAGGTCTTACTTGATTGTTAAAAGCTCCGGGGGATTATTCAAAGAATGTGTTCATTTTGGGCGCCCAAGCTTCCTTGCTGTGTCAAGGGTCAAGATCGCCGGAGTTCAAGACCGTAAACTCTGATCCCTCTCAATTTCCAAGCTGATGTCCTTAGATTCTGGAGTTGAAGCTCGAGTTCTGGGGGCCTCCGCAGCGTCGGGACTTTTGTCCCAGTGTTACAACCGGTGCATGCTCGGAGCGCTGGTCATCAGTTTCTTTACCACGGCCATGACGATGGAGCCACCGGCCCCACCACAAAAACCCGAAAAATCTCGACACCGCGAACTGCCCGGAACCTCCGAGCTCCAGGGCCTTCAACAGAGCGCTGAAGCTCTTGACGTCGGAACCTCCAAAGCCTCAACTCCAACTACATCTTGTTATTGTTGGAAGTATTATGAAAGTGATTAGTGCCATTGTTGTTGTAATCTTTTCTGGTAGTGCTCATATTTTGGTGAGTAAGCCCCCATCTATACGAAGCTCCAGGTGGCGGTTCCTGTTGGTTACCGGCTGGCTTCGGCACAGCGGAATCAGTCACCCCTCCACTGGGCCAGGCGTGTCGCCATGCGTAAAGATTGAGAAAGATTACGGTTTATTTGAGGTTTTAGTTTAAGGTATGGCTTTGGGTGTGAGTCAGACAGTGTTCCTCAAAGTGTTTCCAGGTTCAGGGTTCAGGTTTTGATGACGATGGCGGTTTGGGATTTGGGGTCTGACGAGGCTCAGAATTGCGCAGAGTTTTGGGCATGTTTGTGTGCATCTTCATACATCCCCTAACTCTAAACCCTAATTGTATGACAGGGTTTTTGGGATTGGAGCGTCACGGGTAGGTTAGGAAGGTACAGAATACCACAACGATCCAAAGAAAGTGCGAGGAGCAAGCCTGCCTTTCCTGGAGTTCAACTCGCTGTGTTCCAGTTTGACATATAAATATCTATATCCATATCATTGATATATATATATATATATATAATATATATATATATCTATATCTGTATCTCTATATGCGTCTTTTTATATTGATATGCAGCGTCCGCGCGCCAAGTAGATACTGACACACGAATTCTGAAGCAAAGCTGCGCCGAATCATCACCTAGAGCATTCCAACAGAAGGTTTGCCTGTTCGTTTGACGGGGCGGGCGACAGAAACATAACTTATCTGTAAAAAACTGCCTAATCATCTTATTGATACGGTTCACATTGAGTATGCAGTCGTTGAAGATTTTTGTGGTGATACTTATAGCCGACATGGCTATCGTAACGCAGACGAAATTTGGCCATAGTACGAGTTCGATAGTGGCAATGAAAATAAGACTGAGAAAGCACCGCGCCAAAATCTGCAAATCCAATGCCCTCTAAGCGCTAGGCCCAAGAATCTCGAAGGTACAGCATGATGCGTGCAGCCATTCTCAAGGACCTCGTCGGGCGTCGGCATGCAGGGCTCCGTGAATTCTAGAGCGAAGAGCTTCCAAAGACTGGAGGGCAGGTACATCCTCAATGCCCATATTCGGGGTTCCATCATCCCTCCCCACCTGCTTTCTATAGCCTAGATTCCCACGATGAGAGACGTATAAAAAAGGCTCGATGTCAAGGACATCTTGCAATGTCCAGCGTGCAGGGTTTTCCTGGGTTGCATGGTCCGGGGAGATTGAACTGGGAAGGGAAGGATCCCTGTAAAAGGGAGCCGCTGAGAGACCGAAAGGGAACTTCCGAGACTGTCGCGGCACTCTTCCAAGGATGCTCGGTTCTCGTAGGTTCTTGTTGAATTGCATGGGTTAGAGGGTTTTGGTTCTGTAGGTCCGATCTAAACCCACACCAAAGTATCCCAGATTTTAGCGAAACACGTGTATATACCTCCAGTTGGAGCAGCTCCGATGCCAAAAGAAGCCGCTTGCACACAGCGGGGTGTAAGTACGGGAAATAGGGCATATGCTTTCTATGTGTATATATATATATTTATTTATTTATTTATTTATACGCATATATATATATATATACACATGTATGTATGTATGTATGTATGTATGTATGTATGTATGTTTGTTTGTTTGTTTGTTTGTTTGTTTGTTTGTTTGTGTGTATTTTTGTATGTTTGTATAATTGTGTACAAATGTAGAGTAGTCTTACTGTAGGCATGCATGAATGTATGCTTGTACATGTGTTTATATATGGGTAATTTATTGCAAACGACATACATACTCGCGCCAGTTGAGGCGACTGGTTCATGTTCTGCGATAGAACGAGGTTCCAGACAACACGATATGGGGGCTGGAAGTCGGCCCTGTGCAGATAACCCTACATGATGTGATATTGAAGTCGGCACCTTTAGGGCTTTGCATTTAGGGTTTAGGAAGTATGGTTTAGAGGGGTGGTCTGCAGAGAAGAGCTGGACTGCGCAGTGGCTGTCCCTTTGCCGTTTCCGCAGTCCCAACCCAAATTGCGCCCCTCAATCTGGTAATGGTGCAGCCGTACGTTTACGCTGCTGGATGATCTCTTGAACCTGATTGATATTGTAGCCCCTCTATACCGTAAGTATATCGTAGCTATAGTGTACCTACAACCATCGCCAAGCCCTGTGATTGAACCTGGAAGCATCCTGCTTTCACAGAGGAGTCGCATGCCCGAGGAGGGTGCAAGCGCATGGGCACTGAGAGCAGCCAGGCAGGTTTTGGGTTGGGGGTTTTATATAAATAAGTCTAAGGTTTAGGGTTGTAAGTTTAGGGCCTTTTTCGGTTTAGGGTTTAGGGTTTCAGGCTAAGGTTGAGGGTTTCAGGTTTAGGGCCTTTCAGGGTTGAGGTTGATGGCTTCTGAACGATCGAAAGAAAGACCTACAGCTCTTGGTTGCGCGCCGGCTTGTCCACTGGCAGGTGTAAACTGTTTGTGTCTGGGGTCCCTGCTGTGCGTCTCTGGGGCCTTGATGGGAAGCAAGCCATGAAGCCAGAACATGCCTGAACCGCAATCCCCAAACCTAGCAATCATCTGCTTGCACGAGCATCCTCGCAGTGACCGCTCAACTGCTTAGAGGCTTAGAGATCCCACTGCAACATGACACAGGGTTTCCCCAAAACGCCGGTCAAGGGTTGTCGATCACGCGTGGTGGCAAGCTGTCATGCTCGCCAAACAGCGCAGTCCACCTGCTAGCCATCAGCTCGGACAGCAGGTTCCCTCCGAACAGTTTTTGGTGTAGGGTTTTAGGGTTTAGATTAGGCTCTAGGGTTTAAGTGTGTAGGTTTTGGGGGGGGTTTATCTGCACCCATGGTAAACTTCGAGATTCAAGGCTGCCAACGAGAGAGTCTTAGCGCGAAGCTCCGAACTCCCCCTAGCCCTAAGGCCCTGGGCTGTAACGTTCTGAGACCATAAACCCTAGAACCCTCAACCCTAAACCCTAAGCCCTATAAGCCCTAGAACCCTAAACCCTAGACCCTGAAGCCGGAGTCGTTCTAGGAGCCCTTCGATCGTCTGGACGGAGCGCCCCTGGACGAACGAGTGAACCTTGGTCTCTGCAATTTGGGATAAAGATGTGTGCGAACACAATCTTAGCAGCTTTCGGTTGCTTGTAACAGCTCTCGGTATGTAAATATACCGCTACTGAATGTGGATAGACAGATCTATTCCACCATAGCAAGGAGTTTGAGAAATTCCGGGCCCGGCCCACCATGAGTAAAGAGTTCAGGGTACTCAGAGTCACTCTCAACCCGAAGCGAAGGCATCCCAAACCCGAAGCTGCCCTCAACTACTTTGGACTCCAGCATTCCAGACCTTAAACCCGACCCCCGGCCTAAACCCCGTAAGCCCCCCAATGCCTCGAACTCAGAACCGCTCAGTCTAAACCTTAAACCCTAAACCCTATACCTTGCAGCCAACATCGGAAGCCCTGGCTAGCGCTTCCCAAACCAACCTCTCTCAGGAACGAGTGGTGGCTTTTCCATGGAAGTTCCGAGGTCCGGCCCCCAGAGCTTTAGTTCTCTGTATTGGGGTCCCGTTTAGCTCCCCAACATAGTACGGCACCCTTATAAAAAGGACCCTACAAGGGACCCTAATTTAGAGAACTGCCGATGTGTATGCATGTGCATGTATTTATTTATGTCTGCCTTCTTGCCTTCCTGGCTGTCGGTATGTACTTACGTTTGTTTGCAGTCTTCATATGGTGTGGAGGCACTGTGGGGATCTTATGTGGAGGGTATAAAGAGAGAGTGGCTAGTGTCGCAGCGAGGTGCGGAGTAGGCGCAACCAGCGGTTCTTCCGCTGTCATGCTTTCCACTAAACTCGCATTCTGTTTCACCGTCTGTTTCGCTGTGGCCCCGCCTCGTCCCCGTCAATACTCTTTTTCCCTCGCGAACTTCGCGAATCGCGCTTCCGCCACGCCGACGTGCGTATTGGGGGTGTGCTCCCGTCTCCGTTCCTGTGCTCAGTTTTGGGTTCGAATCGCTCGAAGTCTATCTCAAAGCCCTAAGTTTTCCGACCTCCTTGACATCTTGCTCTTGAGATCCCGCCGTTCTAAAACCTCCTAATTAAACTCCAAGCCCTAAATCTACACCTGAATGGTAGCGTTCCCGGCCTCTGATTTCCAGTTCGGGTCGGATGCCAGCCTCGAAGCACTGAAGCCTAAAGACCGGAAGTAAGCCTCCCAAGAGCCTACTCTAGGGGCCTAAACCTTAAATAATTAGAATAGGGTTTTGGGGTTTCTTTGCTGGGTTCCTGCAAGGGTTCTATACGTTTTGGTGTAAGGGTTTGGTATAGGAGCTTGACAATTTGAGTAGGGCTTTGGGGTTCCTTTAAAGAGATTCTGTAAGGGTTCTTTGAATTTGCTACAGCGGTTTGATAGTATAGGGGCCCTACTAGTTTGAGTAGGGTTTTGGAGTATTGCAGTAGGGCTATGGACAGGAACCTTACGGAATACCATTAATTAGACCTCTTTGGTTTTGGGGGAGTTCGGGCGGTCGGGGCTTCGCGGGGCTGTAATGCGTTGTGGTTTGGTTCTGGTGGTCGTAAATCGCCAAAGGCTTGCATCGGGTTTATGGTCTAGGTTTGGAGGGAGCTCACAATGAGCTGGCAGAATTGCGCACGGCCGTCGAATCTTGCAGCACAACATTACATAGCTCTGAATCCATAGGCCTTTATGGGATCACCAAAAACACTAAACCCATATATATATATATATATATACACATGCAATTAGAGAGACCCCCAAAGCTTTGATTTCAGGTTTACAGGAGCCAGAGGTTTGACGGCACATTGGGGTGGTCACGTGTTGGGATTTCGGGTCTTGGGGTGAGGCTTTAAAGAATGATCTTCATAGGAAGCTACTCCCAAAAAGAAGTCTGATCCATCATCGCCCTGAAAACCGTAGTAGATAGTAGAACCCAAAAACAACCCAATGCCCAGACCCCTATAAACCCTGCAACTCTGAAGCCATACTGCATAACGTTATTATAGTTCACCTGCAAAGGCACTTCAAGGGAATACCATTGCTAATTCTTCAGTTCCAGTTCTCTAGGTTCGACCCACCTCTAACTGAACCTATATTTAAACTTAAACTGCTTGATCAAAAGATCAAGAAACTCTAAGACACGTAGAGAAACCTTCTGGAGCCCTGAAATAGACCAGTTTCCACACCCACCCCCAGCCCCTCAACCCTAAGCCTACTCTGCCCTGGGAGGCTTCATGCCTTTCCATCTGCGAGAGGAACTTTGCTTTGGATCTCGCTGGATCCGGCTCCTCGACGAACTAGAAATGGCTAGTTACCATATGATACCACATGTTTTGAGGGGTTTAACAGGGGATCATGATTGGAATAACCCGTAAACCCCAAACCCTAAAACCCTAAACCCCTGAACCCTTGAAAAACCCTGAAACCCTAAACCCTGAACCCCTTAATCCCTTGAAGAAGGAAGCTCAGGGCCTGAACGCTGCGTCCTCGGGGCCTCCTTGTAACTTCAAACCTCCAGGCTCCGGAAACGGACTCGCCTTTGCAAAGAGGTTCGGGGTCGAGTTGTGGGCGTCTTTTTCTGGTGGGGAAAAGTTTAGGGTTGGTTTGCTTTTTTGTAGGGGGGAGGAGGTTGGGGTTTCGTGGTTTAGGAGTTTGGGTTTAGGGTCTTGGCTAGGGTTTGGGCATCAGCTCTTCGACCCCCGAAGTCGAAAGTGAAGAAGCCAGAGCTACTGCAGGTGCAACTTGGAAAAGGTCCAGCCGAGCAGGTGGCGGGGAAGGGTTTTAGGGGTTTGGTTTAGGGGCGGTCGGCAAACGCGGATTTTCTCGTGAAGGACCGGTTTAGAGCTGGGTAGGCCGCAAGAACTGAACGGAAGTTGCCAAGATCCACGGGCATAATACAGGCCCCCCCCTCATGTTCGCAGATGTGAGTCATGTGAGTATGTGCTAGAAAACCTGGTTGATATAGAATATCCATCGTTGAGTAGGCCTTGGCGAGTACTTGCAGGCGCCGCAGGCCCGAAGTAACAGTCGAGTCACCGCATGCTCGACAAGCATCCTGCTGAATCTTGTGAGGTTTAGGACTTGTGCTGTTTTAGGGTTTGCAGTCTTCGGTGGCAGTCCCTTTCTGCAGTAGTGCCTGAAATGAAACCTGGTCACCTTGTTTCGCCAAACGTGCTACAGTACATTCCCTCATCCTAAACTTTAGTCCTAAACTCCACGCTCTAGCCACATTGTCCGATGTCTTGCTATTGGCGTGTCGGCACTCCAGACCAAAGGTGTCATGGCAAGTAACTTGAGAGACAACCTAACCTAACCCGCCCTCCCCTCGACGCAGCAGCCCCTGCGCAACGCAGTCGTGACCTGTTGCTGCCAGCGGTATTTGCCTACCCTTCCCTGCCTTGAAACGAACATGCAATGCCCCCTAAATGGGTAGTTCTCTAAAGTGGGGTCCCGTTTTAGATGCACAGAACAGAATGGCACCCTTGTAAAAGGGATCTTAAAAGGGACCCTAATTGGCCCAGAGAACTACCTGTCTCCCGAACACCCTAAACCCTAAACCCTTTGAGCAGTGCAAAAACTGACAGCCAGGCGCTTCGCTGTACGGGCCCGGCGTGTACTTCGCGGAGAGAATAACGACGCTGCTCCTGTTTGTGACCAGCGTTTAGGATTCAGGATTTGGGGTTTATAGGGTGTCAGGGTTCAGAAGTTCGGGGCTCGGTATGCAGGGTTTATGATTCAGGATTCGGATATCGGCTTCAGGAGTTAGGGTGGAAGAAGAGTTAGGGTTAAGGATTCGGCTTTACGGTTCAGGGTTTAAGGCTTAAGTTCAGGCTTCATAGGGCTCAAGACGACCAAGTTGAGTGAAGAATGCTGTTCAACGGGTAGGTCTGTCGGGCTAGGAGACTCAAGGAAGCCTGAACAAGCTACGGAAGTGTGTTAGGATTATAGGCTTTTTGGTTGGCGTGGGGCCTGCTGTGATGTCTTTTGAGGGCCTCCCCGCCGTGGGGGCTTGTGCCACTAACCTTCAAGTTGCGCTGGACTCTGCAATCTTAGGCAACTACAACTAGCTGAGCCCTACACTCCAAGGCCTACAACCCCCCCAAGCCCAAAATCCGAATCCTGAACTTTACACACCAAGACTAGAACAAACGTTTTTCAGCCCGAATCAGACCACAGCTCCACCCCAAACCCCAAGCCAAAGATCCGAGAACTGTCCAGACGTTAAGTCGCAACCCCCTAAGAAGCAAATAGCCTCGAAACCCCAAGCCCTGAACCCTAACTCAACTCCCAGCATGCCCTCAAGCAACCAACCCCAAGTGCCGACTTTTACTTAAGCTAACCTCGAAGGAAGGCTGACGAGTATGCAGTCGGGAGTGCCGGGGAGAATGATTCCACAGTCTACACGGCTGGAGTCTCAGTGGCGCTTTCTTTTGGAGGGAGACAGGCTTGGGGTTGTATCGGATTTAGGCAAAGCAGCCAAGGCTTTGTGTGTTTGGGGGGTTATGTTATTGGTGGGTTTGGGGTTGATCTGACTTGTCTTCAGCTTTGCATGGGGCATGGGGTTTGATGTTTGCAGGACGAGTTGAACTGGGGTTCCAAGAGAGATTCAGAATTCCGCCTTTGCGTTTGCATTTCGCTTACACAGTTTTTTGCGTTGCTTGGACCTTCGAGGGGATCTCTGAATCCTCGCAGGGCGATAGCGGTGTTCGCGTCAGAAGTAGCGCATCATGTTCCCCTTTCCGCGCTTCCTCAGCGTGCTGGTGGGCTTGCCGATTGCGAAGTGCGCACTGAACGTTCTCCAGCGGTCCTCTACTGCAAGTACTGGGGCCTTGAATAGCACCGGCCATTGGGAGGAGTCCGTGCTTGCTGCTTGGGCTGAGGAGCCGGGATGTCAAGCCTCAGTGCTCCGAGGTCAGTGTGGGGTCGGTGCTGTGGTCATCAATGTGCAGCCGAGTGGAGAAATCACATCACAGGTCTACACTGCTGGTGCAGGGGGTGGGCTTGCACCCTTCGATGGGCAGAAGATGACATCGATTTTTCCCATCGCCAGCAATACCAAGATCCTCACATCCATCTTGTTGGTGTCCTTGGCCGACCATGGGAAGCTGTCTATGGATGAGACCGTCGGCAGTTTCCTAGATCAGACGTGTGGCAGCCTACCTCAATCTGTGGCCAACATCACATTGTTTCAGTTGGCGTCACAAACTTCTGGCCTGCCTGCACAGCCAACGAACCTCGGTGGCACCCTTCGGATTCTTATATTTCCCCTTTTGATCTTTTTGGCGGTAGCTTGTATGCTAATAGACCGAACTCAATTTCCGTCTGCCCGGAACTACAGCCAGGAACCGGCACCTGGAGCCATGCAAGCGCGACCCAGTGGATTGCAACCCATTTACGCAGTACACCGTGCAAGACCTTTGCCAGACGCTACGTGAGGTCACCCTTGGGCCCAAGGGACACTACCTCTACTCGAACTTGGCGTTTGGAATGCTAGGCTACTTAATGGAGCGTCGCATGGGATCTTCTTTCGAACAGCTCACCCACGCTTGGGTACTGCAGCCGCTCGGCATGTACAGCGGCAAGATCACCCTGAATGAGACTGAATGGCAGAAGCTGACACCTCAAGGAAAAGATGCAAAAACCGGCGAGGGCCGCTGGCGGCGCCAGCCCTATGGCATTCTCCAAGGCAATGGTGCCTTCCTCGTGAGCATTCCAGACATGGGCCGGCTGGTAGGCTCTATGATCAAGGCAGAGAGGGGTCGAGCGACCCCCTTGGCGGCCACCCTGCGGCAGACCCTGCAGCCTGTTACTTGGAGCGGCCTTTGCGCATGCAACGCCTGCGAGGGGGAGGAGTTGCTGAAGCTCTCCATCCCGACGGCGGAACGGGGGATTGTTGCTATGGGCTGGGAGTCCTCTAGCTCCGGTCTTCGCCGAGGATGGCACAAGGCCGGGGACATCGCTGGCTACTCTTCTTGGATGGCCTTCAATGCTGCCTCGGGCCGAGGGGCTTTCGGCGTTGACACCTGTGGGGGCTGTGGTGCTGAACTGGGTTCCTTACGGGGTTCGGCGGTGCAGCAGATGGTGCAGCTGCTGGCAGATGGCCCTCCCGAGGTAGTGGCACCTTTGCCTCAGCTGGCTGAAGCAGAGCTTTCTGCACTCGTTGGTGACTTCAAGCCATGTCCCGCAGCCCCCGGCAAGACTCAGAGCAGCAGTTTGTCACGATTGTCTTTGTCTTTGCATGGCTCAGACAGAAGGAAGTTACTTGCAAGCACCGAATCGTTTTCTGGCGAGAAGAGCCCGGCGGTCACTGCAACGCCATACAGCTCGGCCGAATCAGACGGTTTGCAGGCATTCTCAGGTGTCGTTCTCGCGCTGTCGGATCCGGTTGGCACGCTTCATGAAGGGGCTAATGCGAAAGGACCGCTGGCAACGGTTGCGCAGCGGCGTAGCGTCCACTTTCTGGCAGACTCCCGGTTTCCAAACAAACGCGGGGCAGCGGTGCTTCACACCGGCGGTGTTGATGTTTTCTTCGTGGACGATGTCTCTCAGTGCCCGTAGTGTATTGCCTGCATCTTGCTAAGTTCGCCAGCTATTTTAGCCGTAGTCCTGTACAGCTCATGTTCCAGAGGAGTTATCCCCATAGTGACAAGGATCACTGGGTCTCTGCGCTGCACACGGGTGCATCGGATCCTCTTGGGCCCAACAGCATGACACAATTGCAGCCGACAGCGCTGAAAAGCCGCTATGACTCTTGCGCGAGCGTGTATGAGTCTATCGATGGTTAGATAGATAGGTCGGCTAGGTGGAGGGAAGAGTAGAGAACCCAGACCGGAGGACTCCCAGCCGTCGGAGCGCAAGGTTCGGAGTACTCCCAGCATATTCGAGTTTAGGCTGGTTTCAAAAGATTGAGGGCTGGCCTCTTGGGGCACCGCTGGGTGTTAACCCCTACCTCGACTCATGGTCTTCCCTCCAAGTCCCGCCGTGCTTTGGATCCATCAGGAGTCGGGCGGAGTCGGGGTATCTTAATCATCATTTTGGGACTAGAAGCGAATTCTATCTCTATACAACAGCACTCAACTTCTGTCTGTGACAGCCGATACTTCCTGTACCCAAACTTAGGTTTCACGGGTTGGGTTTCGGGACCTCAGGTTCAGCCCCTGATCCCTTTGCATCTATCCGAGGTGAGCCAGATGAGGGGTTCTTCCAATTTCCTTGCATCTTGTTCAGATGTTCCTTGTAGTAAGGATCACACTAGGATCATATGAAGGTTCTCTTGGGATGGAGTCCTTATATACCATATGATATGCCAGTATTCAAGGTGTAGCGTCCCACAATAGGCAGGTGGGAAATTCCGGGGTCCTCGTCTTGTATAAGTTTGCGAGCAGCATACGGTGCCCAACGCCCTTTCTTATTGAAGCACCTACATTATCATTACCATTGCTATTCTTAGTGGTACTACTACTACTACTACTA